GCCAGTATCAATAACCTTGTCAGACTCTTGATTACAAAGTAATAATTTTTCTTAATAAGTATACTGTGTTTTACTGGTATTAAAATTTGAGATGCAGGACTTGAGATTTGTTAAGCTCATAGGTAGAGAATAAAATATCTTCGAAAGAGGAGTCTATTTTGAAGAGAGAAAACTAACTCTAATTAAAGCAACTCTCCGTTATCCCTTGGTACTGATTATTTATATTCCCTATCCCTTGTAAAGTTGCTATTAAAATTAAGTCACTACAATATAGAGCCTTATAAGGTGATGATGCTAATATAATTGGTTACCTGAGACATGATCAATCAACATTGCTTAACGAGGGTTTAGATGACAAATCAACTAGGATTTTTAATAAGGCATTGCTTGTTAAATGACATTGAAAGTTCTTAGACTCTTTAAATACTTTTAAAAGAAAATTAGTTATCACAAAATCAATTAGGAGGACAACAGGTAGACTATTAAGAAAATTAGATGCGCTTCTAATTATAAATTGTAAATGTAGATTTATAGGGACGATACTAGATTCTTCAAATTCGACAATCCATTAGCAGAACAAATCTTTTTCTAATTGATCAAAAAGTTAATAGTTGTGGAATTCAAATGACTTGAAACTGTTTGCTTTTTTGCCATTTTATATCCCGACTTAACGAAAAAAACCAACTTCTTAATATTTTAGTTGCATTAATAGGGTAGAACAAATGTTTGACCATCTTAACGTTCCATGCAGCCAAACTTGGGAGGATCAAGACAAGAACTAGGACATAATTATATGTCACACTACTATACCTCAATGTGACATGAGCTTTAAAGAGTTTCAAGAATCAATTTTCTTTTTATAAGGGCTCCAATAGCTTTTTTTTTTATATATGAACAAATTTGATTTTAAGATCTTGTTATCTTGGTGATAGGTTTTAAACTAAATAAATTATTGCCACTAGGTAATGATCATGATTATTTTTTTTATATGAATGCTCTTAAATTTTGGAGTAATATATAAAAATAAACATTAATTTTTCAATAATATTTTATTGGGTAAATATAAAACTCTCTTAAAGTTTGGTATAACACTAAAAAATATTTCAATTTTTTTGAATTGAATGGGGATTTCTCTAGTTTATAAATTATTACACACTTTATACCAACCATCATCAAATAATGTTAAAATTATTATGATATTCTTCATTTAATAATATGATTATCATAATTTATTTAAATCACAAAAATTATTAAATAAATTAGTAACTAATATTAATAAAAGTTATTTAAAATATTTTTTCTCAATCTTCATCCATGGCCTTATTAATTATTTTTAAATAATTTTTAATAATATTAATTATGGTTAATAATTTTGACATTGACAATCTTTATTAAAACTAATTATAGATTATTTATTATTTTTTATATTCTAGCATTCAATAAATTACTAAGATTGTTATACTAACTTTATTATTAAATAATGAGCATCTAAGTTTTCAAACCATGTAACAATTTTTGTATAATATATCAAATTTTAGAATAAATTATTATTTGAGTCCCCAAACTTTGTGTTATTTTTAATTTAGCTTCAAATTTATTTTGTACTTTAAATTGATCCCTGAACTTTCAACATTTTTTTTATAAAAAAACCAAAACACCATCAATTTGAACAGAGAAAGAAAAAGAAAATCCTTATAGTTTTTAACTAATCTCTCTCTCTCTCTCTCTCTCTCTCTTTCAACATCATGTGAAATGATGTCTTCCTTTTCTCCTTCCCTCCTATACCAAAAATGCCCACCACGAACAACTGCATATATGTTGTCTATATTTTTCTTATGTATATATTTGAGGGATTTCTTTTACCACATAATGTTAAATGGAAAAGAGAGAGATATATATATATATATATATAAATATATATAGAGGTATTTAGGTTTAAAACAACAAAAAATACATTTGAGACTAAATTAAAAAATAACTCAAAGTTTAAATTGTAACTATTTCAGAAATTTAAAATGAAATATATAATAATTTAAGTGCGGAAGTGAAATAAAAAATTAAACTTTATATTTTTTACACAATAACTTAAAAATATTAAACAGCAGTACGAAATTCGTTTTTTGAAAGAAACACAAGAAATAAGGAAATAAACGAAAAATAGAAAATATCTAGCATTTACTCGCAATCTTCTTGCGGTTCGGGCTCTAAAACCTCGTTCTCTTGATTCGAAATGGTTAAATAAAGGATGAGCTACACTAGCCTAGTAAGAATATCACACTATATCATCGATAAAGAAGTAAATGTTGGTATAAAATCGAAAACCACTAATAGAGCATTAAATTTAGCAAATTCATTTATCAATAATAAAACAATTTACCATCCATCTACCGTAGTGAAATTTATAAAAACAACCTATAGAAACAATAATATTATACATATCATGATTTCATATATAGTCGGCAACATAGCAAACACTATACTTTCATATTCAAATCATCAAAACAACAATTGTCCATTTTTATCAGTCTGCTGGTATCCATGGGAGTTCATAAGGATGTCTCCACTACGCGTGAACCATTTTCTTTAACATTCCTCAATTATGGGTCGTCCTCATACCTCGTACAGTATGAGTGCTAATTTACCAAATCTCAATACCCCGTCCGGTATGAAGGTGAAATGGGCCGTCCCTATACCCCGTTCGGTATGAGTGTCAAATTATCAAGTCTTCATACTCCGTCCGGTATGAGACAACGTTTACGGTAGGATTTTTTACGTACTTGGTCCATCCACCATCTCCCAGGATGTTCAGTAAGGATGCCGTCTTCATCTGTTCATTTTCTCACACGACTTTTTCGTTTTTCTTTAGTCTTAATTTTCAAATCAAACATAATTACATAAGCAAATAAACATGCATCAGGTAATGCAATTATGTCTCAAATCTCAAATCAAACAGTAGTCACGTAAGATAGCAATTTATACATTCAAACCATAAAATAAATCGATAAGACACTCTCACACTTTTAGACTGTAAAATACATCAACAGAGATTAACAGAGAACAATTTTTTATTCGGGCTACATTTGCAATCAGTAATTAATTATGTATGTTTACTAAGATTGCATAAAATACCACATTATTATTTATTTAACTTCAATTCTATGATAGGGAATAGGGTAAGGGATCCTTACTCGATTTAACACCAAAAAGTTAAACGGTTTACTGCACCTACGGGTGGTCTCTGAGTTCCTTAAATTTTTTTTTTTTTATGTGGGAACTGAAACACGCTTGTAGTACCTACAAATATTTCAAATAAATCCAAAATCAGTCCTAGGGTCCACTCGGTCAATTTCGAAAATACAGCACGGCGGTTCCGCCGTGCTCTGGCGACGACGCCGCTGTTCGCGACGGTGGTCCACCTCAGGTCAGCTATTTTTGGTCGATTTTGCATCGATTCCTACGAGCCAACACACTCAGGCGCCTCGGTTGGCCAAAAAAACACAAAAACTCGAAACTCACCTGCGGCAGGGCGCTCCGGTGCGGCAGCTCCTCCGGCTCACTTTGCAGTTGGGTGTTTTGCTCCAGTCAACCTGTAGAAAAAAGAACAGTGATCACAACGGTGGAAAAATTATGCCGAACAGAAATCGGAAAGGGCCTCATCAGAAACATCTTATGAAATTCCCCGCGGCGGTGCCGGCGAGCTTTGTCGATGTTTTCTGGCTAATTGGCCAATCTTTTCTCTTTGATTTGGCCATGGGTGAGCTTAAAATTGAATTTCGTACAAAATAGAAAGTTTTTACCTTTTTTCGCAGTCAGAAAGGTTCCGGTGCAGCAGCGAGTGGCGGCGGTCAGCTCCCTGGCGACTGGGTCGTCTTCTCCGGCGAGGGGTTCTAGCGGTTAAGTTTAGGGTTTGGTGCATATGGAGGTTATTTATACCCATCCATTTTTTATCTGAGTCGTCCATTGCGTTTGATCTGGACCGTTCGATCGCAATTAAATAGGAAGAAAATTTGGACCGTTCATCGCGATCCAATTTGGGTTGTCTATCACAATTCACTTTGGGCCGTCCGATCGCGTTTGAATCTGGCCGTTCAATCGCGTTTGGGAGAGAGCGCATCCAGGCCATCCGTGCGCGCGGGAACGAACTTCAACCGTTCGATCGCAGGCATGCGGATCGCCCACGTAGCCCCCCGAGTGGCCTCCCGCATCAGCGTCTTTGCCACTTAGTGCGTCTTGGTTGGTCAGAGCTGCTGATCCGGCGTCTGACGTAACGAAACATTCTAAAATTACGTTTTTACGCTTGTTTTTTTATTTTTCTTTCAAAAATACCTATAGAATCTAAATTTTTACTTATTTTTTTCAAAATTATTTTTAATTAAATCTTTCTTCAATTTTATTTCTTTTTTTTATTTTTATTTTTTATTTTTTCTCTAAATTAAATAAAACAAAATATACTAAAATAAATTAAATTAATAAAATTTAAATTTACTAATTATTTAATCACCACAAAAAAAATTTGTGGGTGTTACATAAATACTAAAATAGTAATTTACTTTAATTTTTTTGAAAAAAATTGGTATTATTCAAAACATTTTCACTTTCAAATGGTCATTGTTACTTCAAAGATGTTGTGTTACAAACTTCCTCTACCTCGTCAGCGGTAATGTTGAAGTTACTGTTAAAAGAGACAAAAAAAAAACAAAAAAACAAAAACATGTCATAAAAAGTAATATTTATGTCACAATTTCCTCGTGGAGGAAGGGTGACGTGGCATGCATATCTTTCGCAATACGTGATTACGTAGACGGCTTCTCCTACGAGTAGCTACATTGTGGGGCCCAGTGGATAAGCAGAATGCAACAATGACGTGGAGGCAACGGACGTTCAAAACACGTGGCTCTATATGATTGGATAACATTGCCAAATGTACGGATCCTCCGATGGGTTCTTGGCTATATAGGGGACGTGTCCTTATAACTTATCATATGCACCCTCCGCGGGACGGTGAGCTTACTATAATTTCATTACATACACGTCGCTTTCACAGTATATACACGCATCTTCGTATCATACAAATACAAACCATCTTTTCTTCTTCAACAAAACCGATTTTCCCTTCTTCAATTTCCTGCAAATTTTCATATGTTACCATGATTCCTTGAATGAATCATCTCTGTTCAAAACAATTTCATCACTTTACTTCATATTCTGCATCTTGATTTCGATTCTTCTCATCATTTCTCTTCTCGTAAGTCATCATCCTATCGTCATTTCAAATTTTCTGAGTCATCCTCTTTTTCTGATGCGAGTAATTTCGTTTTTAGCTCCTGCATGTTACTCTCTGGTCCTTTGTTTCCATCACTGATGTACTTGGGGTTAATCGTCAACCCTCTCCCATGAATATTCCAACTGTATTTGTGGATTTGAACCGAGAGGATAAATGATGTAGAAACACAGCGACTGGTGTGGCGCTTTTCTTTTTCATTCAAATAATAAGTATGATAAAATTATATGAGAGGTGCTTTGTTTTGGCTATGATTTCTGTTTCCGTATGTGATAGTTTCTTTGAATTGGCCTAGAAAAGGATAGTTCTAGATCATTACAAGGTTAGATTGAGCAGTAATTTTTCAATTAACGATCCACACAAGTGGTGCCGTGAAATTTACAGGAGTGTTTAAAAGTATTTTGTCACTTAATTGTTTCTACTGACAAATATTGTTTGTAAAAAAAAAAAATAGAAGTTACACCATGCTTGGGAATAGAGTAGTAGGAGTCCTTGCAGAGTCCAGCAACAAATGGGAAAGAAGGGTGCCACTAACCCCTTCACATTGTGCTCGACTTCTACATGGCGGCATGGATAAAACTGGTGTTTCCCGCATAATTGTACAGCCATCAACGAAGCGCATTTTTCATGACGCCCTCTATGAAGATGTTGGCTGTGAAATTTCAGATGACTTGTCACAGTGTGGTCTCATATTGGGTATTAAACAGCCAAAGGTACTGAGCCACCTCTGTTCTTCGCTTCCAAGTTTCAAAGTAGCAAGAATTAGTGTGAATGTTTACATGGTTGTTTGGCTTTAATTGCTGCAGCTGGAGATGATTCTTCCTGATAGAGCTTATGCTTTCTTTTCACATACTCACAAAGCCCAAAAAGAAAACATGCCTCTGTTGGATAAGGTACAACTTTCTCCGCATACAACATTCTTCTTTTAGATAAATGATTTATTTTTGCCTCTTCTGACCCTTTGGTGTATAGATTCTAGCAGAGAGGGGGTCACTGTATGACTATGAGCTTATCGTTGGGGACCAAGGAAAAAGATTACTTGCATTTGGTAAATACGCTGGCAGAGCTGGCTTAATAGATTTCTTACACGGATTGGGACAGCGTATGCTCCATTACCTTCAACCTTAAATTCAACTTTCCTGTGAATTGCTTCCTTTATATACGTTTCTAAGTGGATCTTAACTTCCTCACTTCTTTGGTACTTTTCAGGGTATCTAAGTCTTGGATATTCGACACCATTCCTCTCCCTGGGTTCATCATATATGTATTCTTCCTTGGCTGCTGCTAAAGCTGCTATAATTTCTGTGGGTGAAGAGATTGCAACTCTGGGACTTCCCTCAGGAATATGTCCTATAGTCTTTATATTCACTGGCACAGGAAATGGTATCGGAACATTTCATCCTAATCTTCTCTCGAACATCCACTGTGTTTCTAATGAACCTTCAATCATCTGTTATTGTTTAGATGGATTGCTGTAAATTTAAAATCTCCACCCACAATTCTTGGTCATGGTTTTACTTTAAACTGACAGTTTAGAGTATTAATGCAAAAGAGAATTTTTGTGCTTTGCTGGGGATAGATTCTTTTCTCTATTTCTATGTAGTACTGGTTGTAAGCTTTTTAAATGATTCATCAAAGTAACATACATGTTGCCTGCATAGGGTTCTAAATTAGGTTATTTTCTTTCTGCAGTATCTGTTGGCGCACAGGAAATATTTAAGCTTCTTCCGCACACTTTTGTTGAACCCAGCAGACTTCCAGAACTATTTGGAAAGGTAAATTTTGGTCCTAGATTTACGACCACTGATATAACAAATTCCACACTGTATATTAAAAGAAAATTCCTCATGTTCTGAGTGGCACAGTCCCAGTTTGAAGAAATTTGGTGATCACTAATAGTAATTAAGGAAACATGAGACTGAATCATGATTAATATTACACATTTTGCGACCTATGTGATATCCTCATATTAAAGTTGTGTTTTCAAATTCTTGTTCCTTTTCACTGCCTTTTTAAGAAGCTTGAACTTGAAACCTGAATATAGCTTGGACACCAAACATTGAATTGGTTTATTTGCTTTGAGAGTTGGAAAACCAGTCTAAACAAAGAGAAATTTATCAGGTTGGAATTTTTTGCACGATAAATCTTGTTGATGCTTGTGCTTTTTCTTAGGCGAGGGGTCTCACTCAATCTGCACTAGCAGCAAAGAGAGAATTTAAGGTGTATGGTTGTGTTGTGACTTGCCAAGATATGGTTGAACACAAAGATCCAACAAAAGTCTTTGACAAAGTAAGTAAAATGGTCACAATCTCTATTTTGGCTTTGGCCATCTCTTTGCTATTCTCATCATTTGCCTTTTCTTTTGGAAATTGATGTACTTATTCTTTGCCAGGCTGACTACTATGCACATCCAGAACACTATAATCCCATTTTTCATGAAAAGCTAGCCCCTTATGCATCTGTCATTGGTATGTGATACTTTTTTCTGTTGATATTGCCATTGCTGTTGGGTACTTGTATATGCAGGATAGTGTACTTGTATTCTCCCTAACTGGTATCTACAGTTTAGATAACACTAACAATAAGCAATGATAAAATGAACTCCAGTTTTCGTTGGTAAGTACCTCCTGAACTCATTACGAGGGTGAGGGTTCAAGTGCTGTCATGTGCAGTTTTACATGAAGCAAAAAGAAAAAATAATAAGTAGTGAAATAACATGGCTTTCTTAAGGAGTTCAATAATCATGCATATACGTTCCCCTAAGAAATTCACCCATGAGCTATAAACTTTAAATGGTTTTCATATGCTTAATTCTTTGGAGGAAGCTATTATTAATATAAATAAGTCATGATATATACTGTCAAGGGTCAACTATGATTATGTGCTGAAGGCTTTATTTGGCTCAGTTGGACTAAATGCTTTGTCAGAGAATCACATCAGCTCCATGAGTCAGTGATCACATGAACTGCCACCTGCATATTCAGCAACTAAAAGTTGAAATTGGTTGAATACTTCACATAATATTTCTTACTGATTTCATTCTGAGAAGAACTACTACTGATCAATCTTAACAAATTGTTGGTTAAAGAAGAAGGACATTATGCATCTCCTGCAGTTTGTTTCACTGTTCAAATTTATTTCTGACAGTTAATTGCATGTATTGGGAGAAAAGATTTCCTCGTTTGTTGAGTACTCAGCAACTTCAAGATCTAATGAGGAAAGGATGCCCACTTGTTGGAATTTGTGATATAACTTGTGATATTGAAGGCTCAATGGAGTTTGTTAACCAAACCACATCAATTGATTCACCTTTCTTTAGGTATTGGATCAGCAGTTTTAGTTTCATTTTTCAAAGATATTATGATATGGATTTCTTGTTTGTCTAATCTAGTTTTTCTTTTTATTTTCTATTTTTTCTTGATGCCAACGATAGAAAATATATTGTTGAGAAGAATTGAACAGGGAATCATGGTTGAGATAGCTTAAAGCATGTTTCTATCAGTAAAATAGCAAATTTCCATCAATTGTATGAGCACATCACTCTTAGTTCTTTATCCAACAAACTGTTTAGAGCCTTTCGATCTACAGAACAAGGGGGCTTGTGCAAAGAATTCAAATAATTATAAGTACTGTATTCAAGTGGAAAAATAATTAAATTTATTCAAGAAATTCTAACTATTGAAATTTCATACAATTGTCCTGCTCAAAGAAAATCAAGCATTAGAAGATGCCATTGTCTAACAGGTAGGAAGATCATAGGGACTGCCTTATTGCTAATCCCACTAAGAGCTGGGAAGATTTATTCTCTATAACCATCAACAGCAGTCATACAGATGAATGCATTTCAAGTCTCTGGTTTATAGTGGAAGAGAAAGCAGAAGATCAAAGTTCTGTTTATGGGAACTGGAAAAATGATTTCTGCATGTAGCTACTTTGATGACAAAGTATACATGTTAAAACATGCCCCTTTAAGATAGAGTCACTAAATTGAATAACATGGTAAAACATGCACCTTGAAGATAGAGTAACTAAATTGATTATACCAAATTTTCATGTAACTCATCATAGCTTCTAGTTGACTTATAATGTCAATCCTTTTTTGTGGTTCTCCACATGCGTATTTTGGACTCTGACTTGCTGTTCAATCCTGCTTGGCTTTTAGGTATGACCCTTTGATTAACTCTTACTGCCATGACATGGAGGGCAATGGTATAATATGTTTGGCTGTTGACATTCTTCCTACCGAGTTTGCAAAAGAGGTGTGGTACTCTTGATCAAGTTTATTTCTTTACATAATATGCATTATGTTTCTCTGTGGACAACAGATTAGGATGTTGTGAGAGAGGATACATGGTTAATTTTCTTATTGACATTTCTATCTCATTTAATTGTGGAAAGGCTTCCCAACATTTTGGAGACATTCTCTCCCAATTTATTGGTAGATTGGCTTCTACAATAGACATTACAGAGTTACCGGCACATCTAAGGAGAGCTTGCATAGCCCATCGAGGAGTGCTAACATCCTTATATGAATACATTCCACGTATGCGGAACTCCGATGCAGAGTAAGTTCCTGATTCCATATAAAATTCCTTTATTTATTGATTATTTATATGCATTGCATACATGTCTTGAAAATTTCAGGGCAAGAATTTTGTTGACTAAACTTTCTGCTCGGCAAGAGAATATTTGCAAAATAGGTTTGTTTATATTGCTTTAACTTCTTTAGGTAATAAGCATGATTTCCTTTGTTATTTGCAGATATAGCTCAGATAAACTTGTGAATGGCTACTCGGGCAAGAAAAAATATAATATTTTGGTAGGTTTTGTTAATTTTACTATAGGTGGTCATTCTCTTCATTCATACCATATGAATATGGAGATCTCACGTGTTACAGTTGATGTTAATGTGATGTCATTTTGTTTTGTTGATCAAGTTTTCTAATGCTTGTACTGGCTACATTATCCACTACTTAACATTGCTTATTAATTTACAATTGACAGGTATCTTTAAGCGGACACTTATTTGATCAGTTTCTGATAAATGAGGCTCTAGATATAATTGAATCAGCAGGTGGCTCCTTTCATCTCATTAAGTGCCAAGTGGGCCAGAGTACTAATGCTATGTCATACTCAGAACTTGAAGTAAGAAAACCAGCAGTTCATTTTCTTTTAGGAATAGGAACTGTGTGGCTTGTAACATGTTTATATAAGACTCGGACAATTTTGGCAGAATATTTCATACTTCCATTAGGTTTGAGAATAAGTTGTTTGTAATTCATATTAAGGTCATTTGGGATACAAAATAAAAGAAAGCATTAGCAGCATGTTTGGTTCAGTCCCTGTTCTGTTCTCATTCCATTCCTTGGTCTTATTTACTTCATATATAGGACAGGATTGTAATTTCATTATTTTCATAATTGAACTGGTCCTACTTCTATATTTAATTCAATGGTGATGGATTTATATTCTTATTTTACTAGATAGGGGACAAAATACTATTCTGGCTGCACTTTTGTTTTATTTGTATTATATTCCTATTTTCCTTCCATGTAATTATCCTTTTGAACCAAACATAGCCAAGAGTCCTCAAGATTCCTCATCTGTAGAACATTCAAATAATAATTTCTCAATCATTGATCCATTTTGAATTGTGTGCCTTCTTGCAGTATGTTATTTGTACATATCTTCTGATACACAATCTTGTGAAAATTATTGGATAGTTCTGATCTGCTTCTGTTTCTGTATTTCTTGGTGTCTTCTTTGTGTTCAAGTTTTGATTTTCTGCAAGGGACTAGGGTTCCATGACTAATTATCTCCAAATGAAATGTTTTGGACAGGTCAGTGCAGATGACAAGGCACTTCTCGACCAAATTGTTGATTCTTTAACTTCTCTTGCTAATAAAAGTGAAAATTATGAAACTCCAATTAAAGAAGCAAATAGGATCTCCTTGAAGGTTGGTAAAGTCCAAAAGAGTGGAAGCATGGAAGAATCTGACCCGAAAAAGAAAGTGGCAGTTCTAATTCTAGGTGCAGGCCGGGTCTGTCAACCAGCTGCTGAGCTCTTAGCATTGATTGGTAGCAGTTCATCTCGCCACTTGTACAAAAAGTGTCTGGAAACTATTTTTGAAGAGCAGATTGATGTTCAAGTTCTTGTTGCATCTCTCTACCTTAAGGATGCAGAAGAGGTATGATTGAGCAAAATAGCTATAAAAGTTTTTCAAGTTCTAGGTTCCTTTGGATTATTCTGCTGGGAAAATCATTGCTTCCCTTTAAAGGACCAGAGATTTTATTATTATTAAGATAGCAAATATCTAAATGTGTGTGGTCATATTTACTCCAATTATAAGTATGTGCACATTTACATTCAGTTGTCTACTTTTTTGTTATGATTGAAATTGTTATTCTAACACTGAAAAATCTATTGCAGACAATTGAAGGTATTCCAAATGCAACAGCGACTCAGCTTGATGTTTCAGATATCGGAAGTCTTCGTAAGTATATTTCTCAGGTATAGTCTTCAACATTGTATATCTTAGGCTGAAATGTGGGAGGATATTTTGGCAATTGCTTTGAAACAATTCTTATATTGAAAGATTCTGGGCAATTCTAAAGATCTGAATATCTTTAATGATGATATGAAACATAACTGAGCATCCAACATGTTCTGATGTACTAACACATGGATACGAATGGATGACACATTTGCCTGTTTAATAATATGAACAGGTGACACGTTTCTGCTTGAAATAAGAGACATTTTATTTGCCACTTTTCGCTACCAACATGCTTAAGTACATATTTTCATTATCTATAACCAGATGGTCATCTTGTCTGGGATTGCATCTAATATTCCAAGCCACTAAACAGAGGTTTATGCAATCAATATTTATTTTTAATGATCATTTTCCTGAATATCTGCAGGTTGAAGTTGTTATAAGTTTACTTCCTCCTACTTTCCACATCATGATAGCAAAAGCTTGCATTGAGGTAGTTATCATTTTACAGCTTTCTTATTTTGTAGTGTGGATAACTAAGTGCACTTGCAAACTAAGAAAACCTGCTTCTGATCCGTGCTAGAAATGCCAAGTATTTGTGATTTTGGAAAGGTGAAAATATACTTTATAATTGACAATAACTAGAAATTGAGTTTACAAACAGTTGTGAGAAATCTGGGTAGTGTATGAGATGCAGAATAAGCTGCTTATTAAATCCTTGAGATAAAAATATCCTGCTTGTACAAAATGTGTGCAATGGCCAATCAGTGTGTCCTGTTTTACTAGTTTAGTCCAAGGTAGGCATTTGTTACCCAAACTTAAAACTCAATTTCTACATGAAAATATTTTACATTGAATTTAGTTCAAATTCTCATTCCATGAAATAGGGACGGGAATACAGTACAAATAGGATAAAATTTTAAATAAAACTAATGTTCGAATTCCAACCCAACTTCATGTCCAATTCAAGTTATATATTTCCGTTATCCTTAGCAGCTGGAAGTACAAAATGTATGCTTTTGGAATTAGAGATATGAGCAAATTTGATTTATCATGCATCAAATATATAAATTATGATAAGACCTAAGAGGACATAAAACAGGATTTTACCAAATGCATTATAGTTTTTCATTTTCTGAATCTATATGTTGTTTTACAAGTCTGATTAAAAGAGGTTTTCCTTGGGTCCAGTTAAGAAGATGAAAATGTCGGTTTGTGCAGCTAAAAACACATCTTGTGACCGCAAGCTATGTGGATGACTCCATGTCCAAGCTAGATGATGAGGCCAAGAGTGCTGGGATTACAATTCTAGGAGAGATGGGATTGGACCCTGGAATAGGTTTGTTTATACCCTAAATTACCAACCTTTTTCTCAAATAGGTTGACATGTATACTATTACTTCTTCTCCTTTTTATCTTCGTTACCTTTAAACTTTATGAATTTCTTTGATAATAAAAATTTTTCACTGCAATAAGAAAAAGAAAAAACTTACAAGAAAAATAAAAAAGATGATATCTATTTTCAGTGTCTCAACATTGTGGTTTTTCAGTCTGCTGCTCTGGTGCATATATGTCAACTGAGCTTCCCTCCTTTTTACCAATAAGAACCACCTCCCCTTTATCTGAGATGGACGTTTGGCTCAGTTTTCCATACATCAATCTTGAAATTTGATATTCAAAATTTCTATATTTAATACAATTTTTTATGTATTGATATGGCGACTATTTTATGTCCAATTCTTTCTGAAGTTGCTAGCAACAATAAAACCTTATCTAATTGTCGACAAATGTGAGTTCCTTTTTCTCAGTTATATATGTTTATACAAAAGCAAAATGTGAGTATTACAAAAAGGGAAACAAAGTTTAAAAAATAAAAGTGAGATGGGATTTAAAAAATACAAAGGATCTGTGCATGATTTCAACCAACTGAAATATTTCCCTTTTTCTTTCCACTTTAATTGCTGCTTTCGCACTTTTTTGTTTTTTTACTCCATCAATGCCCTCTTCTAAACTTCCCATGGAATTAACATGAAATTAATTTTTTTTATATGTTTTAGTCAACCTTAGTGCTTATCTTGATCAACAACTATTGAAGATGCTTTTCAGATCATATGATGGCAATGAAAATGATCAACCAAGCACATGTTCGCAAAGGGAAAATAAAGTCTTTTACTTCCTACTGTGGGGGACTTCCATCGCCAGCAGCTGCAAATAATCCATTAGGTTACAAATTTAGGTACTTTTTTAAACTCCAGGGATTACACTTAAAAATCATGCCCTTCTTGAGACTTATCATATAGAAAAATCTCTCCCCTTTCCCCAGTTCCCCTGCACCCTATCTCTTTTAAGGATTTGAGGAACGCTTAGGATATGATATAAGTGATCAGCTGTTAATATAGACTGAACATTGACCAAACTGAAATGACTCAGATTAATGATGTTTGAACAAACTGAGAACCTAAAACTGCATAAAGTTTTCTTTACATTATCATGCAGTTGTTGCTCTATTATTTCATAGCATGGAAAGTTATGTGCTCCACCTCACTTTGCAAACAAAGCAGTGAAACTTACAGGAATTTCCTGAAAACGTTCAAGAAAATAAATATTATTTGCAAAAATTCTAGAGACAAACATATATATTTTGTCAAATCTTTGCCGTGCTAACTTAATGCTCCCTCTTGCCTCTATTTGCAAGTGGACTCTTAGCTGTCATTGACACTGTTATCTATTTTCCAGTTGGAATCCTGCTGGAGCTATCCGAGCTGGACGAAACCCTGCCACCTATAGATCTCATGGCGAAACTGTGCATGTTGATGGTGAGTTTCTGTTACCAGAGAAGTTTATTTTCTCTCTCTCTTTTTCCTTTGTTTTTTGGGTGAGGTGAGGCCCAGGCTTTTTTTTGGGGGTGGGGTGGGGGGATGAGATGGTGTGGGCCGAAATCACTGGCTGGCAGCAGCACAGAATAGTGCATGCTTCTGTCCAACTTCAGTTACCATGTATAGATCGATGTCATCCTTAATAATGTTTCAGTACTGCCCTTGATGGTAAACCTTGTGGAAGTTGTTCAGTTGGAATATAAAAGAAAAAACTTTCTTGACCATAAGTGGTGGGATTGTATACACATGGAACAACCTTCTTGATTTAAAGTCATCTTTCTATGCATACAATAGTTATGCATGTGCTCTAAATGTGCTTCTTTATCAATTTTTTTGTTTTGGTTCCCTTTCATCACCTCATGTTTCGTTTGTATGGAATCTTCTCTTTCCCCTTGAGAATGGATCTTCAGAATGGGCGCCCTT